AAAATATCAAAAAATTAACGTGGGGGACGGTGTAAAGACGAATAATGACCCCCATCGAATAATGACCGGGGGGGGGGGGGTAATTTTTCAACGACAAAAAATGACCCCCACCCGTAGAAAAAAAATCATTTTTTGTAGAAAAAGGGTCCTAGGGGGTCGTTATTTTATATGTTAGTCCTATAAAATAATGACCCCCATTGAAAAATGACCCCCTTTAAAGTGATACAAAATATACAGTCTTTTATATCTTTTTTACAGCGAAACTTATTTTTACATTCTCTGTCGAAAAATGACCCCCGGTCATTATTCGATGGGGGTCATTATTCGTCTTTACAACGGCTGCAGACTCTGTTTTCTAAAGGAAAATCACCCTTGAAATGTGCCATTTTGAGGCTTTTTCTGTTGAAAATAGAGAAATGCTTCACATTAATGATGTTATATTTGCGGAATGGTAAACCTTCATGCCATATTCTTTCCTGATTTATCAGAGTCATTTATTTAACTAATATCTAAGCCAGTTTCAAAACTTTTTGATGTCATTACATTTTTAGGGCGCAATAAAGCTAAAACCATACCTTCTTCTTTACTGTTTAAATTTCTTTTAAAAAGATTAAAATCATTTCAATTCAATGTTAAAATAATATACGCCATATGTATGTGAAACAAAATAATTAAATGATTTGAAACACATGAAGTGTAATGAAAAAATAATATTTCCAGAAAATTTTACTATGGAAGTCATTGTAATAACAGAACAAGAAAGCAATATCTGCAATAAAGAAATCAGTCTTTTCATGAATATTGATAAAGGAAGTGCGTAAACAGAAGGCCTAAATATAGACACGTATGCCAACGGGAAATTATAGACAACGAGGTATGTTGCATTTTGACAACGTTTATTAATAAAAGGTTAATGTGCGTCATAACAGAGTATAGATGGTTGATAATGATTACATTTAAAGATAAGTAATATTAAGAGTAACACGCCATCCATGTCAAAAGTGAGTTGTATCTCAAACGGCTAACCTCGTTTTTTTTGACGCCGTATTTGTTTATCAATCTAAAAGTAGCGACGGCGTCACGTGGTGGATTTATTTAAAAATAGCCAGTTCTCTCCTAGCAGGATAATTAATAAATATAATTTGATAACTTTATAACATATTTTATTTTAATGGTGTAATTTTCAATATTTGTGTAACTTTTTTGGTAAACAAAATATATAAATTTCCAGCCGTATTTTAAACTGGCGCACGTTATAGCGTATATTACTTTAAATAATATAGTTATAGGCATAATCAAATTTTGGTCTTTGTCGTAAGTTCTTTTGTAAAACGGGTCCAGGGGTCGGGACTTGAAAAATGTAGAATCTACTCTACCCCAGGATGCTTTTACATACGTTCAGCTTTTATTGCCAAGTGATTCTTTAGAAGATTTTTGAAAGATTTTTTTTATCTTTATATTACACAGTCAAGTTTGAATTTATTATTGTGACCCCATCCAACCCCCTGGGCGTACGATTTGAAAAAGTTGAGAGTATAAACTACCCCAGGATGCTTTCATATAGGTTCAAAAGAAATTTTGATGTAATTCTGATTCAAAGTAATATAAAAATGGTAGGTTAATACAATAGTACAATTACTGCCTTTCCGGATTCATATAGTTGTTGAAAAATCTGGTCTTCAGAGACTACCTATTTTTCGTCAGTGACGAACTGAAGCAAATTGTAACAAGAAGGATGTGGAGATAACGAACAGAATTCTATATCAAAGTCCATAAAACAATACAAAATAGGAGCAGAGAAAACAAGGACCTTTGACACCTCAATAGTGGGATCAGGTGCCGTGGAGGAGTAAGCATCCCCAGCTAACCAAACACATCTACCTTGTACTCCTTGTCATAATCGGGGAATAACGGAAAAATCCTTCGTCAATTCTGTGTATAAATAATGGACAAACAATTAGTATGAAAAACTTCAGTTAACATTTGACTCAATGATAAATTGTATTTGCTGACAAGGTCATTGTATCAACCAAAGAACTTACGAAATGATGACTTTAAACGAGAATGCTAATATTCTTGTTTCATCAACTTGCTTGTCAATAATTTACTGCATTTTAGATATTGTTTATACGTAGAGCATGTTTTGCGCATCGAATCAATTGAGATATATATACATGTACTCTGTATGCAGGTGATGAACGTATATTGCTGCATTAGTAAGGGAAGTTGACAATAGAAAAGTTAAAGTCATCGCGTTTATCATATAGATTGGTTGTTAAATTACCGTTAACGTCTTTTTCAAGTAAAATATACGTCAAGTACGAAACAGATGCGTGAGACTCTGTGACAGTGGTTCTTTTGTCTCATGCTCACCAGGATGTATCGTATAGACATATTTATGGAAATTACTATTGTTAATTGACAATACGTTGTCGAAATATCTAAATGTCGAGTTGAAGGCCACAGCAATTTTTTTCTTCTTTTCACGCATGAGGTTTTGCACAATTTCTGCTTTATATGAATATAAATATAAGTCTTCTAATAACGAAGCTCAAAGTGATTTTGTTGGTAGCCAGTTGCAAGATAAGAAATTTATAGTTCTCTCTTTATTTATTGACAAGCTGTGTATTATGTGAGAAATCCTGGTCCATAATGTATTGAGAGGTATTTGCCTAAGAAGGTAAATAAAAGCAATTAGCAAATATGTTAGATTGCTTTTGATGCTGAAAAGTTTTTGGATTTTAAATTTCGCTAATGTTCGTCTGATTTTGTTTTCAAAATCCACATTTGATTGATAACCATTCTTCGATATTTTTTTAGAACAGTCCTCTGAATATTTTAGCTCCTTCAGAAGATTTATCTTTGATAACAAGAAGAGGGTTCATGTGGAACATTTAATTGCCATGGAATGTATATTGATACGGATTATTACCGACATTTAAGAAATTCGTATAGATACGGTAAATCAAAACCATTGAAATGTTAAAAATATTTTTAATTGAATAAAAAAAATTAAAAGACTTACATTTGTATTTTTTGAATATCATTGTAGAGGGAAAACTAACAACTATTTTTTTTTAAATGAAAGTGTAGTAATGAGCTCACAAAACTTTATTGTTACAAGGTTTCTCTGCTGATACCAAACATATTTTTTCTTGTTTTCTTTTAACATTTCCTATCTACTGAAAACGGAGGGATACATAGTTTTCATATGCCCTTTTCATTCTCTGAGGCAAATCTTCAAACATTAAAAAAAAACCCACCTATTTCATTCTGACAAAATGAAGGTGCCTCTCTCTCCATCATTAGGCAACAATTTGGTATACCTTTCAGCCCAATTCAACCAAATTCGTAAATGAAATGATACATTACCGTCCATCCTCCTCCTTTTGAGTCCATGTCACACAGAACTTGAAAAGAAATTGAAGATTTGAAGGGATATATTTCGTAAACTCCTGTCTTTGTCAGTCCACATTTGTTGTAGATTTCAAAACAATCCAGAGGATGGATACAACCTTTGTGATAAAAAAAAAGATTTGTAAAGAAGGAGAACAAATAATGCACATGTTGATATCCATATACATATATATATATATATATATCGTAGTCTCAACGAGAAAGTGTTTCGTTGAATTGATATTGTTCACTAATATAAAAAAGTCACAAGTTTTACCACAAAGGCAATATTTGCTTGCCCAGGGTTTGTGATTCGCTACTTTCCTCTTAATCTAAGGAGAGAAGCATATCAGAGACCACTATTATTAAACATGCAGACTAGCGGAGACGACAACGGTCAGATTTGCCAACCTTCTGGTTAGCTGCAGAACTGTAGCTCTCAAAACAATATATTGACAGACAGGATAGATGCAGTGCCACGACAAAAATAAAAATTGTATATTTATTGTGCACTAAACGTGCGCTGATTTTCTGTTTCAAATTGTCATAGTCTTTAAAGATTTCTATCTTGGTGTTTCAAATGAATTCCTTCACAATTTCCAATCACGTTTTCTACAACAAACAACTGTTGTAAATAGCCCTCCTTGAGACCATCCATTTTTGCATTTTACTGCCATTTTTAAGAAAAGAGACAATCGTTTCAATTGCAACACACTCCATCGAGAAGTCTAGAGCTCATAATTCTTTTAGATTACACGCAACTCATTTTTAGATGCTAATATCGTGCTTTGAACAAATATAAATTGCAAGGAAAAATGTTTCTTTCATGAATTTGTTTATTGCTTTAAAAAGTTTGATTGCTTGACTACGGCCTTCGTATACCTGGTGTAAATTTGGATTATTTGGTGCCATCGTCTTGTTCACTTATATCACATCACTCTATTTGAAAGTATCAAAATAATTGTACCAAAACACAATTTCTGTAAAATGAATTTGATGGAACATTTTGTGTTGCTAAACTATAAAAATTATTATTTTTTCAAGCGAGTTTGAATAAGTTCATATCATTCACTTTAAATCACAAAAGCCAACAGTCTTAGACACATAAACCAGTTGTCACAAATACACAAACTGAGCAGTGTCGATTTTTAAGAAATTCTCAGGGCAAAAAAGGCGTTAAGTGATTCCTGCTTTTTACCCACATAGCTGTCCAGTTAGTCCTGAAGCGCTTTATGCATCATTCGAATGCGAGTACATGAAAAACACGATGTAAACAGTCATTTACCTGCGATTTTACGATATTGAGCACTTTTCGGGTATAAAAGCAATCCAATTGCTGAACTATTTAATAAATAAATTTGCTTTCTAGAAAGTAATTTGTTTTTGTTATGTAAAGAAAATATGTATTTAAATAGACAATTCACGGGTGCAAATTTTAGCTAGTGTCCGAAACCAAGATTTTTTTATTTACCTTTTTACTACGTTATCATGAACTCTTGTTGATTTAATTGTCTCTAAATTTGAAAGCAAAATATTGCATTGCTAATATTAACATTGATGAAAACCAACTTTATAATTATGTTGATGAAAATGAAAAGATTTACCTGACTGAAATATAGGAGACACTTTCAGTAACTGTATATTTGTGGCATTCTGATCCTCACGGATATCATCCAATGCTTTCCCAAGGGAGTGGGAAAAGTTCCAGAAAGTGTTTTCAATCACATTAAGACGTGCCTCAATGTTTGAGGATTTTATTTCCTTTTCCATCCGATGTAACTTACTTTCCACTGTGTTTTTCTCCTTTGACAATGTATCAAACAACTGGTTCAGAGTAAAGGTGTCATTCCGTAAGCTGTTTATATCTTCTTTCTTAAAGGTATCAAACTGTTCTTTGTTTTTAAAATTTTCCAAAGTAAGATTTTCATTTTCTTTCCGTAGAGCTGAAAATTGTCTCCTCAGAAAAAATATATCCGATTGATTAAGCTGTTGAAGGTTTGAAAGTGTGAGGTTCTGACTTTCACTGATTCTATTATTCATATTACTCAGTTCTTGTTGAATTCTGATATCACCTTCTTTAAGCTCCTGATCTTTTGATTCCAAGGCTTTTATTTCTTTTGACTAAAATAAAAGATTCCTTTTCAATATTTCAGTGTTATTTTTATTATCTATAGCATCCATTACCAAATTCTGAATTTTTTGCACCATAGAAAAACGAACCAAAGATTCTTGGTTTAGAATTTCTTGTAAAATTTTGGATGTTTTTCAGCCGTAACACTACGAAAGAATGTGTTTTTGTCCGATGGGTCATTTACAGATAAGGAATGGCATCCGGATGACCCAAACATAACAATATATACTAGTATAACCATATGCGATCTTCCCATTTTTCAGATAATACAAAAATATGCTAAAGGGATTTCTTTTCTAAAATACACTTATTCTTTTGTGATGGGGGTTTATATATTAAAAGGGGCGGAGCCTTTCAAAAAATACGTATAACCTCATATCAATGCCCCATTAATTCTAAAATCGAACATTGTTTGTTTCAAGAGAATATCTGTGAATAGTGTGTTTAAGTAATCAACGTTTAACGACAAAAAAATATGTTTATGTTCTGGATGAAAAGGTTGACGTCACGTAAAACTCTTTTCTCATTAAGGTAGAAAAGGAAAACAGAATTAAGTTTTGCCTTCAGTTTTTATTATTTAAAGACAATATAGATTAAATTTGTCATTATGAAACCACCCTTTGCAGTATCTCTCAATTATGTCAGGTTTCATTTTTTTCCAATACCCTGAGTGAAAGAGACCTTCTGTAGGAAGGTACAATTAAATGTATAAGAGGAAGATATCTTACTTTAAGAATCGAAACTTATCTGGACAGCAAATAAAATGTATATTGAAGTTATCGTTTACAGGGCTGATCTGTCACAGTAGCCTTCGTCCCTTGCCATGGTAGGCGATGGCATTATAAAGGATTTTTAACCCCTAACTGGACATTGATTTTAGTCCAGTACAAGTTTAAAATTGAACCCCTTAAACTGGATACGGTGACCTTTATATATGTAATATTTACAAAATTTTAAATTGCACCAGAATAAAAAAAATGATACAATAAGCAATAATCACTCAATAACGGCTGGATTTTACTAAGTGTACTAAGTTTGGTTCCAAGACAAATTATTTTTAAACGTGAGTCATGTTTTTGTTATAGCAATCTTAATCTTAAGTAGAGAAAATTTGATGATAATTCTTGCGACATAGCCACTAGAATAAAGAATGGACTTGCTAGACGTTCTGAAGCTTTCTTGAGTTTCTTTCAAGTATTTAAGTAAAATTGTATCTTTGAAAATTTAGCAGGACTTTTCATGTAAGCAAATTAAATGTATCAACTACGGAGTATCCAAAAAGGGGCTGGGTTTAGTAAAGAACAATGAATTCGTGTTTTCGATTTTAATATATTTTTACTGAGGCAAATACAACCGAATACAGAAATTGCGGATAATGGAGTTTCAGTGATGGTGGCGACATTGAGAATAAGAATGACAATTGTTAACTGTTTCTGTGGAGCATGAAATATGCACATACCGATATTACTCTAACCAAAAAGAAACATAGGATAACTAAAACACCGACTCATTTGCTCAATTTAATTTTTTGTCCACTTTTTTTAACCGTGATGATGAACCATACCAATAAATGTAAAGAATAGATTGATTAGGGGCATGAAAATTATTTTGTATTCTGTTCCTATAAAATTATTTTTCCCTGTAACATGTTCAGAAATTTCTGCTTATAATAATGAGATCTTTTTTGATTTATTTTTATTTCGTGAATGGAAAACGCTTCAATCAGATTCTTTTCATTTTCTTTAAGTATTATCTTTTGCCTAACTTCAGGAAAAAGTCTGTTTTAAAGAGTGCGATTGATAAAGTTAGCATGAACAATCTCGTATTCTCTCATCCCAAAATTCATCAAATTTATCTATCTTCTAAAACGTGTGTTGTTTCGTTTTAATGATAGCTAAATCCGTTCTATATCATTCAAAGAAATCGGAAAAGAGATAAATCTGTAACTTCATATCAATTAACACAAGGCAATGGATAACCTATATTTCTCTAGTTTCAGATGCATTTCTTGACCCTATTCCTTAACATCACATTACAGTAGATTGTGAGATTTTTTTATGTTTTGTTTTTAATTTTCTAAAACCTTTCTTAGATATTTTTTGTAAAATTAAAGAAGGTAATTATGATGAAAAGCTTAAATCATTTTGGACCAGGAAGAGAATACGTTAAATAAACTAAATAAAAGATGATACTCCAATACATTTTTTAATCCATATAAAAATGAATTAAGCTTGTGATAGACATGTGTACTTTTTGTTGTGTTTAAGGTAGTCCGATCCTCGGGTCCTGATATTCAGGAAATTTTAAATTATCTCAAAAGTGTCTCTGAATTCTTAAAATAATATTTCTACAACGTTTCGCATGAAAGTTAAACATATCATGTAAGGAAAATTATCAAATCTGAATCAATTATCAGGAAATGTGATTTAAAATAGCCACTATACATTTTCTAATTGAATACTGATCAACAAATATATATCGTCATAAAAAATCATTTTAATAGTTATTTCAGATTCCCTATAAATCAAACAAACAACATGGATGTTATTTTGCTTGTTTAAAATGGCGCTTCTGGCCGCGGTGATTAGTTTGCTGGTGTTACCACAGGGCTGCCTCACGATCAACAATCAATAAAACAAATGTGACAACCCAAATCGTAAGGATCATGCACTGGGTAGGTCGCAAGTGCATGGACGTCACCAATTCAATAATCCATCAAATTCAGGAAATTCTAAATTTACAACACCATAACTCTACCTGATATAATGAAACTTAACAATCTACTCTAAGGTTCTGTATTAATGAGGCTTGCCTGAAAAGGCTAGTTTAAAAATTATTTTGATTGTCAACTTACTATAGTTAATGTAGATTAAAAAAAAATCACATTTTTGTGTTATTGTGGTTTTGTTGTACAGATTTAAATATACCCAGAAGTGTTGAAAAGGTAATAAAGTTCTACAAAACAATCTTCCAAAGGCTCAAAGAGCTAATGATATGACCATTTTCTGCGATGTGCGTAAACTTTTTAAAATATGGGCCATAACTCAAGAACCCCATGGCCAATCATTGTCAAATTTGTCACAGGGTATAATGGCCCAAGGGCTATCATTTATTTCAAAACTAGGGTTGGGACCCTTAGGAAAATAAAACCAAAAGTACTGGTTCTTAAAAAATCTTCTCCATCACCACCAGGCAGATTTTCACCAAACTTACATACAAGGGTCAGGATATGTTGAAGATTAAAATTTGCACGGGGAATAAACCTGGGGCAAAGGGCGTGGTTTCAAGGTCACTTCAAATTTGACCTAAATTTACACTTAATAAAAACGTTTATATTTTGCTTATTGTTAAGACTAGAATCATCAAATCTTCTAAGTTAATGCATCTTAGGAATTCATATCATGTTAAATCAAAAGAAGGTCGCGGTGACATTCTTTTGTAATTTTGCAGGCATTTGTTTTCAAATTGATTTTAAGGCATATTTTGGACATTATCAGGTCTATGATCATCAAACTTTGTCAGTTGATGCATCTTAGGTCTTTGAACAATGAAAACTTTAAAATAAGTCACCGTGACCTACTTTCAAAGTTTTATGGCTGAACTTTTTAAAAACATTTAATCCCATTATTTCAGACACTGAGAGGTTTAGAAACATAAAATCTTGTAAAATCCTCAAAACATACTGTGAATTACTACTTTTCATGGGGGTTTGATTTTCGTTGTTTTCGAGGTAAGAAGAGACCCACGGATTCATGTCCACCACGAAATGTAAATTTTCATGTGCACAACAACTAAAACGTTTTTCATCCACGAAATCAAATACCAACGAACCAACATTTTTTCCTTAAGCCACGAAAATTTGACCCCACGAAAATATGTGATTTTACAGTATTTGTGAAAAAGTAGGTCACGTTGACTTACTTTTGTAATTTTGCAGGCATTTGTTTTCAAAATGATTTTAAGGCATATTTTGAATACTTTAAGGCCTATGATCATCAAACTTTGTCAATTGATGCATCTTTCTTGAGTCTGCAAAAAACGTCAATAAAAATTTAGGTCACGGTGACCTACTTTAGACAGTTTATGACTATATTTCAGTATCTTAGGTACTTATTGGCTTAGGATTATCAAACTTTGCCAGTTGCTTCGTGGGTTTCCAAAAAATGATGACCCAAAAGTAGGTCACGGTGACATAATTTTGACATTTTATGGTTATATTTAAGTATTCTCAGGTACGTATTGGCTTATGATCATCAAACTTTGTCAGTTGATGCATCTTTGGTTTTCGAAGAATGATGACCAAAATGTAAGTTATGTTGACCTACTTTTGACATTTTATGGCTATATATAAGTATCTCGATTAATAATTGACTTAGATTGGTCAAACTTTATCAGTTGATGCATATTTGGTTTTCAAAGAATGATGACCAAAAAGTAGGTCACAGTGACCTACTTTTGACATTTTGTGGCAATATTTAAGATCTTCGGTACTTATTGGCTTAGAATGGTCAAACTTTGTCAGTTGATGCATCTTGGGTTTTCGGAGAATGTCTACCAAAAAGTAGGTCACCGTGACGTACTTTTGAATATCTAAGGTACTTATTGACTTAGAATCATCATTCTTTGTCAGTTGATGCTTCGTGGGTCTTTGGATACGTTGACCAAAATGTAGGTATTACTTACTTTCGACATTTTATGGCTATATTTTAGTATTTTAGGTACTTTTTGGCTTAGAATCATCATAATTTGTCAATCCATGACACCCGCCGTGTGTTCCTTGTCATGATTGGAAAATAACAAAAAATCCGTCTTCACTCCAGTGTATAAATAATGGACTAACAATTACATGTACATGTAGTATGAAAAACATCAGTCGGCATTTAACTCAATGATAAATTGTATTTGCTGACAAGCTTTAGATCAGTATATCGACCATAAAACCTATGAAATGAAGACTACAAACGAGAGTACTGATACTCTTGTTTCATCTAATTGGCTTGTCAATCATTTACTTCGTTTTAGAAATCGTTCATATGTATAGCATGCTCTTACGTATCGAATCAACTGAGAGAATTATAAACTCCGTATGCAGGTGATGAAGGTTAATTGCTGCATCAGTAATGGACGTCATTATGTTTATCATACAGCTTGGTTATTAGATTACCATTAACGTCTTGTAAATGCAGGTAAATTATACAGATATATATGAAACAGATGTGTCAGACTCTGTGGTATCTTTTATTATAAGCTTAACAGGATATACCGTAGGAACCAGTTACTAGTAACCATAGTTAACTGACAATACGTCGTTGATATATCTAAATGTCGAGTTGAAGGCCAAAGGAAGTGTTTACTTCTTTTCACGTATGATTTTGGACATATTCTGCTTCATATGAATCGTGTGCGTGAAGGATCGTTCGTGTAACAGGTTTTATCATGCGTTAATCGTGCGGAATCGTTCGTGAAACGTGATTGTTCGTGTAAGTTGTCATCAATAACGTTGCAGCCACTGCAATATTTAATGTTCATTTATGACAGTCACGGCGTTCCATAATAAGATAAGTTGATAAAGTTGTAGACTTCTAGGTACGCTATTATGTACATGTAGACAGTGGTCTTTTCGAAATAAAGTATTAAAAAAGTTACCTGATGAAGGTGGGGAGGAAATACTTAGTATTTAGCACTTTCATTTTTGAGACATTTTGATCCTTGCGTATACTCTGTAAGTCTTCATTTTACGTCTTTGTAAATGTTGCTACACTGCCTTCTATCTCCTTCATGGTCTCATTCTTTTAATATTTACATTCCGTGAATTTTTCCTTATGAAATTCATTAGAAATCCACGACATTCAAATTTCTATAACACACGCGAAACCTTGTCACCAGACGTTAGAATACACAATAGGAACTATATGCATTTTTTATCATATTGGAACACCAAAATGTACAATGTTTTGACTCAATTTAATTCAAAACTATAATTCTGTTAAATTTACGGAAAAATACTACAAATGTGCGTTTAAAATAAATTTGTGACTTCTTTCCCTCGCAATGTTGGTTTGCGTTATTTAACTTTGCAGCGTCATCTGACGTCACAAACGGCTCTTACGTCTATTAACCGCGTAAGTTTTGAAAGGCGTTAAACTCACATTAAAGATTAACGGAATAAGCGATTATGAAGAAGGAAAATTAGAGAATGTAAATATAAGCATTGAATTCATATTTTTGGCTGTCTTCAGTCCTATACATGTAACACACCTGGCCGTGCCGACAAATTTATCATACCGCTTTTGTAGGAGATACTCTTTCCTCCATGGCACCTGATCCAATCTCTAATGTTTTTTTTAGGTCCGTTTTGCATTGCCTCTATTTTGTATTGTTTTATGGGCTTTTGATTTTCAGTACTGTTCGTTATCTCCATATGTCTCATTTGAAATTGGAAAGCATTGTTTTCATGTAGAAGATGATCAGAGTTCTATTTCTTAAAGTGTCCATCTAAACCATTTCCTTTTGTTCTCTTTCCCCTAGGTTTGATTTAATATTCATTAACTCTTGATTAAGTTTAACATTTTCTTCTTTCATTCTATTTTCTGTCTTCTTCAAGGAATGTACTTCCTTTGTAACATTACTGGGTATTTTTCCTCATGATTTGGCTACTGTTTCTTCTTTCTAATGCATCGAATTAAATACCATAACTCTTAAGTTTTTGTACCATCGAAAAACGAACCAAAGGCGGTCTTGATTTAAAACATCCCTCAATATATTTGATGCTTTGTCAGACAAAGGTGTGTTTTCATGTAAACTTAGATGAGCAAATGTTTGCTAGAGGGAAAGCAAAACAAGGAAAAGCTGCAAAATCCTCATTTTTTAGATCTATGTTTATCTCTAGTGTAAACTGTTTCTGTCTATTTTGCAAGTGAGCATGGCTGTTTTATTTTCAGAGATTGGAATTGTTTTCTTGTTACTTAGTTTATTCTGAATTGCAACAACCTTGACTGAGGTTAATTTTATCTACCTTTAATTTCATTTGGGACATCCAATGGCAGTTAGTTCACGCATATACTGTTACATGCATCCAAAAATCGCTAAATAAAAGAAAATAAACTTTTCCTTTCTTTTGTTTGCTTAAAGTCATATTTGAAATACCACAGAGAAGCAATTTATGCTTTATTTAACGAAAAGCTTTAAGAAAAGGAAAATAAACCTTAATTTGACAAATTTTATTAAATAGTGGATGGCAAACCTTGTGTCTGAGTTGCTGACCAATGCTTACAGTCCGTTCAAACAAAAACTAGTTACCAAAATTCTACTTGTTTGAGGGGATCTTTAAACAAGGCTACAATTGTATCCACGAAATCCACTAACGCCTACCATGCATACACAGTATACTTTGTATTATATCTATAATGGATATCTATACTGATAAAGGTCGAGTCTACCGAAAGCGATATTTTGCACTAAATTTATTTATCAAAAAACGAAAAAAATATATCAATTAATACAGCAATAATTATATACATTTTGTTAACAGGTTGGTTTACAGATGCATATGACAGCATGCCATTTTTACAATACAGTAAATACATACAGGATAAAATACTATAAGATTTATTGATACACTGTACCAATTTGGGGCCCCTTAGGGAAACTTTGTGCAACTTTTTATGCAATCATTTTAGATATTATATCCAACTATATATTTAAATGATCCAGAGAACAGGGGATTTAAGATCTTTTCATTTACCTTTTAAAATTCATGTTATTGTTAGTATGCTAACATAACTTTATTTAAAATATTTGTGAATATTTATTCTTTCAAAAAGCGCACAATAATGATAGATGGTATATATTGGGTTAGTAAAAATATATTTTGTAATGTATGAATTTTATAAACATATGTTAAATTTATTTTCGAAATTGAAGATTATAATTAAATAATTAATGGTTTTTTTTAATCATCATTTCCGTAAAGGAAAGATCACTGCCACTTGAAATAATCCCACTCCATGCAGCATCCCTATGTCCTCCAAGAAAAGGAGCATTGAGATTCACCAGAGTACAGTGATAGTACCACCATCCAGATCCACACTTAGCTGCACACCTGTTTCTGTCATGATCGAACGTAGAAAAGGTATGGTTCACCACAGGGTGCCCCAATCTGAAGTTATCAGCTAGAAATATAAATGTTGAGTAAATATAATCCTATTTTTCAATGATTTTGTTAAGCTACCGTTTATAAAGATTTTTATAAATGAAAAGAAATGAATAATCGTCATCTACCAATATTTCCTGATTTCTCCCCAAGAGAAAGTCTGTAACCATCAGTTTCATCAGAGATGGAAAATGATGAATATTGCATTTCATATGACTTTTTCCCTGTAGATTCCATTCTGATATACAGTGAGTTGTTGTAGGTTGTGGTCAGCTTATGAATTGCGTTGTTTCCTGAAGTTTCAAATTTATTTAATTTTGTCGAAATAAAAAGCATCTTCAATAAAAGATGTTGCTTAATGAATACCGCATATTTGAGTTTATCTCACAATATGCGTCCTTGTCAAAACCCTCTTATTATATGTCATTCACCTATTTCTTTGTGAAAATGAGTTACATGCAAGTTGAAATTTATTTATTCACCTGTAAATTAAGAATACACAAGGGGTCTAACTTGTGACTCGGAACAATTTTCACTCGTGAATGAACAAAGCAGTCCAAAAAAGCATTCCAAGGGACAGATTGGACTACTTGGTCTGCTTTCAAGAGCAGTCCCAGAGCGGTCCCATAGCAGTCCCAGGGCAGTTCAAAAGTTCCAAGGGACTGCTTTCGTGTACTGCTAGAGAGTCAGTTTGGGTCTGGTTGGTACTGTATGTTTGTTTAAATGTACCTACCAAGCCAATAATTTCCTTTAATATCCCCAAAACCTCGTTTATATTCATCCCAGGTTGTGTTGAAATTAACAAGTGGATTATCTCGATTCCTGTGCTGAATGACCTAAAATACAATTATATTTCAATTACAAAGAATACATTTAAGAATAACATTATCCCTGAAAAAAGAAGTATAAAATTATTCCATTAAAATGTAATAATTTAAAGATCTTTGAACACATCATTTATGTATTTTTGTTTAAAATTGAAAACAGGAATGTTGAGAGTTTTTGTTTTATATGTATATTTATATACGATATATTTACCGTCCAACCACCTCCAGATGATTCCATGTCACACATCACCAGAACGGAAGTCAAGTTGTTGACTTTTATGTAAGGGTATATTCTGTAAATTCCAGTCTTCCTTACACCACAGTTGTAGATATCGTAACAGTCAAACAGAACAGGACAATCTAGGAATATAATCTAAACTCCGTAAAGAACGATGGAAATGTTATAGGCAGTTAAAGTGTATTTTGATATTTCTTTGTTTAATTGAGTTACAAAAGAGAATGAAGATACATACTATATAGGGTATTATTGTACGATCATTCATTAACAGTCCTTGTAAAAAATAATCTAGGAAACCAACATCATCTCGATATAAAATGATGAATACTTAATGAATTTTTAAGATAAATAAAAATGCGGATGGTCCCTAAAATCCCTGAATTGAATGAATTACCTTTTCATTTTTTTTTTCAGTATCTTCAAAAAGCTTGTAATATTAAAATAGGCTTTTCTTAACCTTTTTCAAAATTTCTACGAATGTAAGAACTCCGCAAATTTCAACCATATTTCATTTTCGCTTAACATAAATGGGTTGATAATTGAATTGTGATGAATTAAAATATCGTTAGTTTTTTTGTGATACATGTAGAAGTAAATTAGAGTACGAAATTAAATGACTTTGAAAAAAAGCACGAGGGTAATTGAAGACATTTTATCGTCAAAAATGCATAGCATCGATCGCGAAGCCTTCTGGTTGGCAGGACGATTGCTTTGTGATCGGAAAGTCTGGAAAGGATTCTAGTTCGCGGGGCCACATCCAACCTAAGACGAAACCATAGGCTGTGATTGCCCCTTTGCCAAGCGACTTGCACTAGACGTTTAGTCCATATATTTTTATCTGTATATGGTAAAAAGCATTCCTGAAAACAGTAAATTTAGTCTACCTTTTTGTTACTATAATGTGTGTAGTGTGTATTTTATTTACCTCTGAGTCTGTTTTTCTAATTTTCTGAGAGTTTTTTTCAATTAAGAACACCCATTTTTTTTTTTTTAATTTTTTGACGCGATATATTCACACAGGTATCGACAACAAAAGATCCCTAGTTAGTGTGAAGTTTTATTATGAACAACTTCTTCAATATTATAAACTTATCCACTGGCTGTTAGTGGGATAGCTCGTTTATCAAACCCGCGACAGGAACTATTCCCCTCGGGGAATAGTTCCTGTCAAGGTAACAGGTGACTGTTTTGCACTTGAGCTGAAATTGGAAAGAATTTCACTGTCTTGCATTTCATCTATCTTTCTTGATGAAAATAGATTGCATAAAAATGATGTTGAAACATGTTTACAAATTATTCAATGTTGAACGTAGACGGAATCTTTTCAAATTCGAAGTGTGTGGAGGTTGTTGTGGGATTTTTGAGATTATCAATGACATCAAGAAGTATGTAAACATGCTTAAAAAGAGGCTAAACAGCATTATTATATTAATTTCCAATTAAAATTGCAATATCCTTATGATCATAAATAACTTTGAACTTCTGAAACTTTAAATTTAACCACTGTAATAATTTCAAATAAGAATTTTTAGCAGCAGGAGTAAAAGACCATTTTTACCATTCAGTCTTCGGGTGTTTGCAAGAGTCATATTCTGGTTTTCACTTATTCTGTCATTGATTGCACTTAGCTCTTGCTGAAGTTGAACATAATCTTGTTCTAGTCTCTAATTCTTTGTTTCCAAAACCTTCAATTCCTTTGCTGAACAAATAAACAAAATTATATTTCATTATTGTAGTGTTATTTGTGTTGTTTATATCAATCATTACAAAATTTCTGATATTTTTTCTCACCAGTGAAAGAACACTTATTAATGAATGATAAAAACTACTTTGATAAATACTAAGTCCTTTCATGATATGGTAAATATTAAATAATCAAATCATTTTTTTTTCTTTTGGACGTTGTCGGTCGTACCTAGCTGTGCTGATAAATCGATTAGTGTTAGTCCAAGCTCGGATAAAATATATATAACTCCAGTTTGATCTAAATGTTTTGGTTGTTTTGTGTCAGGAGTTTATATTCTAAAAAATTCCGGTTCGTTTTTTTCAATTTTCCTTTTACCCCCCCCCCCCCGGCATTAAAGTACTATGCAATGCTTCAATACCAAACTGTTTAAAAAGAATATAGTTTCAAGTAATCCCTTACGCATGTAAATTCCCTACTGTAAATTAGATTCGTTATTTAGTTTTCAACTATCCTTAGAACTAAATTTCAATTTCAATTGCATTTGTTGCGGGTGTGGCTACACTCCTGACAGATAATCTGTCTTAAAAAAAATTTCAATACAATGATACGGAAAGCTTTCTAACTTGAAGTTTAGAGCTCATTGATTTTTAAATATGTAATTGAAATTGTTGTGAAAATAAAAGTAGTCGATCATGACATATTTGGTAAAAGCTCCCCGAATGTAGATCTTAGATGCTTTTGCTTCAATAAACCAAAACGGAATTCCGATTTTTTTTTTGTTTTTAGGAAATGGGATGCTTATTTCAGATGCTTGCCTAGCAGAATCATTACTTAACTTTGGATGTTGGCTTTATCATATGATATAACTTACGAAGTAAGAATAAATTAATATGAAGACCTTTACATTTTGATATAAACATTTTAATGTGAATGTAATTGTATTTTTTTTGTAATCAATAACAACAGTTTTGCAGCACAACGATTTCTAAGCAAGTTTTTCTTTTTTTTTTTATTGAGTCTTACAAGTTCAATGTGAATTGTATTATTCTTCTGTTGAATATTATATACAGTAATAATTAAGCATATGTCCTATTTGAATCAATGTTCAGACTGGGTTTTCAAAGAAATATTCAAAACGTTCAAGTAACGGCACTTATTCTTTGCATATTGTGTTCTCTCTGAAATAAAAAAAAAATATCTTCTATACATACCTATCGACGAACAATTTGTCAACAAAGCTCTGTTTTCCTTGTTTTCTTGACGTAGTTCGTCCAGTTCATAGCGAAGCTTGGTTTGCTGCGTGTGAAGCATTTGAATTTCTTCCATTCTTTTTTCATCATTATTACAGTCGTATTTTTCATTAAAATAGATGTGCTGCGAGCTTGTGCATAACACGCAGCACATGCAAATGAGTGTTAACACAATAGCCATAATTTGAACTTCCACTGTCTCTCAACGTCAATGTTTTATTTAATATATATTCAAGTATATATACTTGTTGAATGGGAAGTGAAAAAAATTTCCTTCCTTTTTTAACCATATCTCGTTAATCTTTGACCTTAATTTATAACTTTTAACAAATAAGAAACAGAGGAAACAAAGAGATAATTGTTAAAAGTTGGCTCCTTGTGCACCAAGAGCAGATCTCAAATTTAATTCGGCGATTACAATCATAGCGGCCTACTACCAACCTCTGAATAGGTCATGTTATATGTAGCTCTCCGCTAAAAATCCAGCTATACTGTATGTGTGTGCAAATTTCTAGAATTATGTAAAACATTGCAGAAAAATATTCTTTTTGTACCTTCTTTCTCTCTCCTTTCATTTTAAATGATAACGTGAAGTGCAGTAACAAAGTACAAAATAGGCAGTACACTTGATGTTTGTGCGAATACCCATGTAAGTAACAATAAAGTATACAAACATGTAAACAAAGAGATAAAATGTAAATAGAATCATAGACTTACACCAGTTTTACACTGAAAGAAAATAAATCTGACGGAAACATGAAAACAATTTAATCGTAAAAACATCTTAAATATCTGGAATTCGTTCAGTCATAGAAAAAATACATACAGAATGAAAAAAGAAGGGGATTGGTTTAAGAGACTTAGACAAGGATATAGAATATGACTGGACAGAAAAAACGGTATCTCAGGACCATCAAATCTTTAAAAAAAATAAGATGTTTGAAGATCCACCAAATTCAGATTCAAATAATAGATAATGTAAATATATTTTAAATACTGAAGGAATAAAATCCTAAACATGATTATCATGATCCAAATTAAAAAAAAAAACATAAATGACAATGTGTGGAGGAAAGAGCAGAAAATTTATTTTCCCCTTCGATAAACAAATAAATTGAAATAAAGGATACATTTATTTTTTCAGTCTGAATATTAGTAATTAAAAAAACCTTTGCTTGTTTTCTCAACCAAAGGATTAATGTTATTTGGATAACTGAAAGTATCCCAAAATATTTGGTAGTAATATAGCTCTGCTTCCCACATATTTCATCCCAAAGACGTGTCTGGATTCCCGTGAGTTGGTTGTATTTAAAATGGAAATGTACCTTTATTCTCAATAAACGAAAAGGTTTAAGATAAATTGCCAATTATTATTATTTTAATTAAAAACTTTCCTAGATCATTCAAAATCTTAAATTTTATTATTATTAGACAAGCAAGTATTAATTGTAGTACTTTTAGGGATACTCTAAGGAACAGATCAATTCTGAAGTTTTGTTTTTGTTTTGCCACATTTTAACAATTTCTAGATCTATTATATTCAATGGGTACAAACTGTGACAAGACGTTCAATTCCATGACGATGAGGAAATATTTTATATAAATGTTTTTGGATATATTTCATAACGTTAAACTGTAGTTTATTTTTCAGTTTTCATGTAATGCTACAAAATCATATGACATACTAAGGATATATATAAAAATGTACGCCGCGTTACAGGGACACCGTGACACACAAAGGGTAAAATTGACACACGTAGAATCTTTGCACCGAATTTTTGACCCGAGTAAATTTTGGTCAATACCAAAAAATATTAGGTTTCAGAAAATTACAGGTTTCACAACCTAAGTTTTTTTTTGGAGAAAAATAAACGTAAAAATAATTTCAGTATGCCCCATAACGTAAATATTGCTAAATATTTCTTCCTCCCTATGTACGAGTGCGCAGAAAAGTTGAATGTTACCATAATTACCATGGCCTCAAGGACCCAGGAATGAATGCAAGTAGACCAGAAATGTTGATGCAATGTTGACACAATCGTATCAAAAAGTTGTTAGATAATTCCTCTCATCTTTGCATGCCCGAGTTGAATGTTTTTGAAAAGTTTAAGCTAAAAATATGTGGCGTGACCTTGACATACACGAAAACTACGGAACGGTAGATACAATCCTTGTATTGTTCAGTCATTTCTTACTTTACATAGCAGTTAATTGTTATATCTTTGCTATATACTCATAATTTTCATATGTCTTTATGTGTATGTTACGGATATCTTATAGTTGTTTTTTCACTATGCTGTCTAAAGTTTTACCATTTGAGTATCAAGTCAACACTTTAAAAGAATAACAGTTAGAAAAATTAGAAAAAAAAAGATGTAGAACCGAAAAAAAAAAATCAGTAAATCATATAAAACAGATAAATTAAAAGGAAACTGAGCAGATGAAGGAAATTAGATAAAAAAAAAAAACACGGAAGAAAAATACAAAAAAAAAGAAAAATGATAACTTTAGTTCTACCATCTGTTTAAATGCGGAAGAAAACTTAAAGGGAACGTTTGATCAGACTTTTGATTTCTATAAGAAAACTGTACCTCTCATATAAAAAGAAAATCTGCATCTTATAACACTACACTGCTGAAAACAGCAGTTAAATTCAATTTTGATAGCTTAATTGTAGCAGCATGGGGAAAAACTTATCATGTATGCTGCTGACGTAGTGTAGACAGATGAAATGCCAGATGTATAGAGTCAATATGTTTATGACTGCAGAGAAATAAAATTCCTTACATCAGAAATAAGCTAATTCAAGCAATTGTTTATTTATAGGAGATAGATTAACATCCTTAATTCTTGGACACTTATGAACTTCAAACAGTTTGAATTGCAAACAAATAAAATAAACAACCTTTGCAGCTAAGTTTTTAATTAAAGTTAAATCCCGGCCAGTTTATGGCTTTTTATTATTAATTCCCTTTTTTCTGAATTCTGAAACACTAGAAGCATTAGAATGTGAAATCATATTTCCTTTAATAAATTCAGATTCAAAATGATATCACAAGCTCTTAATTTGAACATTTTCACGATGTGATTCCGACATGATAATATTTACAGTTAGAGCCAATGTCCCCGAAGACGTCATAAAAGTGAGGATTGTGGGAAATATTTAGCAAGCGCGATAACTTTATCTCTCAACTTCGCAGCCTCCAGCAGCCAGTGAACTCATAACTTTAGTGTCTTATTACTTTAAAATTAAGTAAAAACAAATGGCGATATCAGGTAAAATTCATTAATGACCATTCAATGAATGAAATATCAATTAGTTATTCTAGACCCCACGTTTCCTTTAAATCACAAAAATAATTTATGTACTTTTGTCATATCAAAGAAAAAAAAAAGATTTTGTGTAGAAAAGATCTAGACATATTTTGTCGCATTATGATACAAATAAGATATTACGCTTATAACGAAGAAAAACATGATCTTCCTTGTACTTTGAAATGAGTGTGTTTTGATTTACATAAATACAAACACTGACGTTTGTTCGGTCGTCAAATATCTGATTTCTTGTTATACATGTGTTGCTCTACCTGGTCAGCCTTACTCTGAAGCTTTGTTTGATTGGTCAGAAGCGTTTCATTTTTTCTGTTTAATTTTCATTTCCCTTGCAGTCATCCTTTTTTAAATAAAAAGTTATATATAATGAGAATTTGAAAATTAGACCCGATTTTAAAACAGTGCTTTTCACACAAACGCAATGATTAAATATTTTCCACAAAAGTCTTACTATAATATTAGTTTTGGTTTAAATATCCTTGAAATAAGAACTATTGACAATATCGTATGAAATATGTCCGTTTTCTACACTAGACAAGAATAAAATATATACAATTCAGTGTAGAAATTATAGATGATACCTACAGCATCTGTTATTCATGGCTAATAAGTGAAATGCTTATTATAAATCGAATTTTTGTTCCTTTTTTATATGAATAACCAAAAAATAGAACTTTTTCTCGTGAGAACACGTTAAATATTATAAAGTCTATTTTTTGTGTCCTAAATGTTTCATCTGTTACAATGTAAAAATTATATTGTGTATATGTCTACATTAACTTTTTATTGCTGTTCGTTGTTTTACAGTAAAACACACAGTAAACGGACTACCAAGGAAAGTGTAACTTATAAAATTCTTTAAGTTTACAATTTATTTACAAGTCATTGCAGTCGAAAATTACTTTAAGGGTCAATTTATTATAGTCGTGTTCGCTGTAAGAGTGTGAAATTACTGTGTGTCCTTTACTACAATTTATTTCTTATACACAAATATATACAAAATTGCTGACGCACCATTTGTTAATTTTTATTTGTGGATTGAACGTTTGCCGGATCGGTACTTGTGTATATAGTATGCCATTATTTCCAAAACAGCGGGATTGACAAAAGTCTTGGTATCATGAAAAGGTTCTTGAATGACCTTCGTGTCCGAAAAAAAATGTCCAGCTGTGCGCTGTACACAATATTTGCCCAGATATGAAATTCTTGATCAATTTAGGTGGTCTGTGAGGTTGCCACAGAAGTAGTCCCCCAGATATAAATCAAATAACAAACCGTCATTGACTCTCATTTCACCTAGTAATCATCCAATGCCTTAGTGTACATACCAAATCCACTAAAGTTCCGGTTGACCCAGTTTTGACAAACAATAAACTAATCAAAATGTAATTTGACGAGAAACGCGGGGTGTTTTCCACTTATGGTGACAGAGATTCGGTACTCCAGGATACTATTGGTTATCCAGGTGTAATCAAAGGTGTACAGGGAGTTACCCTGGGTTTTATTTCATACACCCTAAGGCCGAGGCCTAAGGCCGAAGATTGTATAGCAAAAACAAACTGGGGTAAATCCCCGTACACCCTTGATTGGACTTGGATAACGAATTTATTATCTATGTAAAAGGAGTAAATTTATTTCTCATTTCAAAACAAGGGTGTATCACATTTTCAAGATATATATGTACCATTCATGTACTCGCGGGTATTTATGAACTCCTCAGAACATGTGATCTTTGAGCTGTGTATAAAATTGAAATAACCAAGTCGAGATTTAATTTAACCTACATCTTTAATTAATCAAACATTAATTAACATTTTGAAATTAAAGTCTGCAGTGAAGTTCTTTTCAAAATTAAGACTTTGAAGAGTGGGTGGGGCGGGTAACAAAGGAATGATTG